TCTGGAATGTCTCCCACATGTCTCAGATGTCTCCAGAATGTCTCCCACATGTCTCCTACATGTCTTAGAGGTCTCCAGAATGTCTCCCACATGTCTCCTGAATGTCTCGGATGTCTCCAGAATGTCTCCCACATGTCTCCTGTATGTCTAAGATGCCTCCAGAATGTTTCCAGAATGTCTCCAACTTGTCTCCTGAATGTCTCAGATGTCTCCAGAACATCTCCCACATGTCTCAGATGTCTCCAGAATGTCCCCCAGATGTCTTTTCTGGATGTCTCACCTGTCTCCAGAACGTCACCCAAATGTCTCCTGAATGTCTTCTGAATGTCTCTGAAGTCTCTAGAATGTCTCCCAGATGTTGCCCACGTTTCCTCTATGTCTATGTCTTCTGAATGTCTCACTCATGGCTCCTGAAAGTCTGTCAAATGTGTCCCAGATGTCCTGGGGTTTTTGGTGCTAATTAGCGTTAGAGCAAACCTGGGCATTGTATGGCCCCCGGGCCGCATACGGCCCTTTGATTGACTCTGACTGGCCCATGCAACGTTAATTGGAAATTACAAAATAAACATATTTTCTTATTTTACCTGATGCATGGGCTGAAGCTGCAATGCTTTTATTTTGAAGTTGTTTTTTATTTACGTACATGATGACGCAAAGCGTATATTGAGACATGCGCGTGATTTGATCGTTGTCACTAGCAAGTCACAAGACGACTTTAGCCCTCAGAAATGTCTGCTTATGCTAAAAAAAGAAAGGTAGATGAAGAATGCAGGGTTTTCAACAAAAATTGGACTGCTAAGTATTTATTTACTGAAGTCAGGGGTAAAGCCGTGTGTTTAGTTTGCGGGGAGCAGATCGCCGTGTTTAAGGACTACAATTTGAGTCGGCATTACGAGACGAAACACGGGGAGAAATACAAGAACGTGACTGACGCTGAAAGGGTGCGGACATCGGAAGCTTTGCTAGCTAAACTGCAAAAGCAGCAAGGCTTTTTTACCAAGCTTCACACATCCAGGGATGCAGCAACCAAGACCAGCTTTGTTATAGCTCACAAAATCGCTAAAAACAGTAAGCCATTCTCGGAGGGGGAGTTTATCAAAGAGTGCTTGGTGGACTCCGCAGCATTAATATGCCCTGAAAAAAAAAGAAGCATTTGAGAAAGTCCCGCTCTCCAGGCGAACCGTGACGAGAAGGGTGGAGGACATATCGTGGAATCTGGAGCTTCAGCTGCAACTTGAAGTGGCAAGTTTTGACTTTTTCTCCTTGGCTTTGGACGAAAGCTGTGATGTCCGTGACACAGCCCAGTTACTCATATTTGTCCGCGGGATCACGCCGGACTTCAAGATTACGGAGGAGCTGGCAGCAATGCGGTCGATGAAAGGGACGACTACAGGGAGCGATCTCTTCATGGAGGTGAATGCGTGCATGGACACACTGGGACTGAAATGGGACAGACTGGCAGGTGTCACAACGGACGGTTGTCCAAATCTTACAGGGAAAAATGTGGGACTTTTAAAACGTATGCAAGATAAAGTGGCTGAAATCGACTCAGATCAGGAATTGGTATTTTTGCATTGTATTTTACACCAACATGTGTTGTGCAAGTCAGTGCTAAAAATTAGCCATGTTATTAATGTTGTTACTAACATAGTAAACTTCATCAGGGCACGGGCATTGAATCACAGACAGTTTGTCGCACTTTTGGAGGACCATGAGTCTGAGCATAGTGACATCGGCTACCACACACCTGTCAGATGGCTCAGCCTAGGCAAAGTGCTAAAAAGAGTTTGGGACCTGAAAACAGAGATTCAAGAGTTTTGTGAGATGAAAGGCAAAGACATCCCAGAGCTCTCAGATGAGGACTGGATGGCAGATTTTGCATTTGCTGTTGATGTGACCGCACTGATGAATGACCTGAACATCAAACTGCAAGACAGGGGCCTTTTTGTTCATTAAATGCACACCCTGGTGAAGGCTTTCATGAAAAAGATGCTGTTTCTTTCAAGCCAACTGGAGAGCAACAATCTCACTCACATGCAAACCCTGAAAGAAGTCACACCATCAGCCGATCACCTCCGCAGGTACTCATCCATGTTAGGAGCATTGCATTGTGAGTTTTCAAGGAGATTTGAAGATCTCAGAACAATCGAGGATGAAATGCACATGATTTCCTCTCCCTTTACCTGCAGTGTGGATAATGCACCCAGTGATGTTTAGCTGGAACTCATTGATCTGCAGTCTGATGCAGTACTGGCAGAGCTCTTTAAATCAGGATTTCTACTGGATTTCTACTCTTCTCTCAAAGAGGAGAACTTTCCAAACATGAAGAGACATGCTCAGAAGATGTTGGTTCTCTTTGGCTCTACCTACATATGTGAACAAACATTTTCAATGATGAAGTTCACAAAATCCAGGTACAGATCATCTCTCACTGACGATCATCTGTCAGCTGTGCTTCACATCTCCACCTCAGACATTCAACCTGATTTTGATGCACTCGTTAAAGCCCAGGAGAGACTAGATTTCTCTCACTGAACAAGAAAAAATAACTTAAAAATGTAAGAAGTTTTAAATGATGTTTTTATGGTTGAGTTGTGCAGGATTTTAATTGTATTGTGGTTATTTTTATTTGCATGTGTTGTGTGTTTTTATGATGTTGTTTTAGTGATTTATTGCCATTCCCATTGTTTGGGAAATTCGCTTGAATAAATTACATTTTTTTGGAAGGCAACCTCATGTTTTCATTGCTTAATTATAACATATACTCTTACCAGCTTGTCAAAACAATGCTATTTACTGCTTTTTATAAAGAAATAGAGTTAATATTATGCAGAATTGAGATCAGCCTTTTGGCCGGCCCTCCACAATATTTTCTGTTTCTCATGTGGCCCCATGGAAAAAATAATTGCCCACCCCGCGTTAGAGGGTCGTAGCCCAGACAAATGTCCTGGTCTACAAACCATGCTGATTATAAATGGTAACTGGTAAAAACTGGTCTAGATCTGCACATCGCCGTTGCTAAACTGAATTAAATCTTAAAGTTGGGGGCTGCTGTTGAGGTGGGAACACTGTGGGTGGATAATTTAATGTACACAGAGACTTCTAAGCTGTGCAACCAAAAATAAAATGTGATTTTCACAAATTGTCATTTTCAAACTGCAACTCACTGGGTTACAAATACTCAAAGTGCAGGGAGATGGCAACAGAAAACTCAGAGTTAACACTTTAACACTTAGTGTGTGAGCTGTCAGACTGAAGCAACAGCCTCATTACTACAGAGGAGGTCCCACTGCGTGAGCCATCTTCTGCTCTGTCCTACCATCACTTATCAACAAGACTCTCAGATATGTGAAATGTTCCTCTATGACTTCAAAAAGCGTTCAATACAAACACAACTGGACTTTATTTGTAACAGAAGATGTACAAATAAAGTCCAGTTGTTTTTGTATTGAACATTTTTTGAATTCATCAGTCCTGGATGACTGAGAATCTTCACCAGCATATTCCTCTATGACTTGTTTTCAAAACAAACAAACAAAAAAGTAGATGTCAAAACTAATTAAGTTAGAGAAGTTCAGTGGTACCAACCTGTAAAAATGTTTTCAGAAAATAAAAGCCAGTCTATCCCTAATGTCAGGAACCACTCACATTCTGTCTCTGCTGTGTCCAGTTGACCCTGAAGGGGTCCCAGATGGACTAAAGTGGACAGGAGACTCATGACTGGATGAACAGCAGAGACCGTCAGCTGTTTGACATCACGGGATCAAGCTTCAACCAAGACAAGCAATTCCAGGTCTAAAGATC